TCATCATCATCATCATCATCATCATCATCATCATCATCATCATCATCATCATCATCATCATCATCATCATCATCATCCTTCTTTCTCCCCCTTCCTCCCCTTCCTGCCCGCCTCCGCCACAGAATTGGCCCAGGCCTGTCTGTGGGCGCCTGTCCAGCCGTAGCGGCGAGGGCGTCCACGGGAGGCCCCAGAATGCCCCAAAGACCTCGAACCTTCCGACCCTTCTTCTTCTCCTCCTCCTCCTCTTCCTCCTCCTCCTCCTCCTCCTCCTCCTCTCCTCCTCCCTCCGCCTCCTCCTCTTCCTCCTCCTCCTCCTCACTCCTCTCTCCTCCCCCCTCCTCCTCCTCCTTCTTCCTACCTCCTATCCTCATCATACCTCCTTCTCCACCTCCCTCCTACCTCCTCCTCACTCCTCCTCCTCGGCCACTCCCGAAGAACTCGAACCTCTCCCACCTCCCACCCCCGATTCTCCTCGTCCTCCGCTTCCGTGCGGAAGCGAGGCCGCCGCCCTCGGGCGCACCGACTCCCTCCAGTGGCTCCTGATGGCCGGAGCGGACGCGGACCTCAAGAACCGCGAGGCGCGCTTGCCACTGGAGGCGCCGGGCTAAACCTCGTACGCCCCCTCCTCCTCGTCCTCCTCATCATCATCATCATCATCATCATCATCATCATCATCCTCTTCCTCCTTCTTCAGGAGAGAAAGAAGGACGCACACGCACATGAGTCCGTGTTGGTTTTGAAAGTACGCATTGCGCGAATGCTCGTATCACGCGGCTGGTCTCGCGGATCGAGAAGCCGTTGTCGTGTACATAGTTGGGCGCGTACGTATTTTGCGGGCTCCCTAGTCCTCACCACCATCATCATGATCATGGTCACACATAACATCCACAACAACAACAACAACGACAACAACAACAACATCAGCATCAGCATCAGCATCAGCATCATCATCAGTAACATCATCACCATCAGCAGCATCATCAGCAGCATCATCATCAGCATCTGGATCAGGATCAGGATCAGGATCAGCATCATCTGATTTCCGATATGTTAGTAGTCTTCCGTCTGCTCTCAGTATTAGCAGTATCATGTTTTCTTTGCACTCTTATCATGACAGTAGTTATTTCTCCTTCTCTGTCCTCCTCCTCTTCCTCCTCCTCTTCCTCCTCCTCCCTTCGGGGAGGACCAAGAGGTGCTTTGCAGGGGCGGCGCCCTCGTGTGGGCTCCCCTTCCCAAGGCTCCCCAGGCTGCGGAATTCTGCGCGTTCTCTGTGGCAGGCCAATTGGCCCTTCCAGGAAGCCCCCCTTGTGTGTCATCACGAATGTGCATATTTTCGCTCTGCCCGATGCCTGTGGCCGTTTGGGCTCAGGCGCTCGGCCGATGTTGAACAACGGTTGGGCGCAGATGCTGGCCCTTGGGCATGCGTCCTCGACGCCGCGCGGCGGCGGATCAGCAAGGTGCTGCACGAGTACGACCTCGGCCCGTACCTCGCATTGCAGGCGGAGGAGGCCGAGTTCGAGGGACCTTCGTGCAGGTGGCGGAGGCCGCGGACCTTAGCGTCGAGGGGGCGCGGCAGCAGCTGAGGGAACTCGTGGATCGGGCCGTTGCTGGGGAACCTGCTCTGAAACGCCTGAGGGGCCGTGCCACGGTTGCCCCGAGCGGGCCATGCTGGAGGACGCCGCGGTGTGCCTCCGACTGGCGGGCGACCGAGGTGCGGCCGAGACCCCGCCGCTGCCGGGGGCCCGCGCGATGGAGGTGACCCGCTTCGCGCGGAGGTGCCGCGCGGCTGCAGAGGAGAGCCGACGCGGGCTGGAGGTGCAGGAGTGGGCTCGGTGGAAGCCTCGCCAGATCGCGCTGCTCGAGGAGACGGGAGCACCCTCTCTCGATACGGCGCATGCCTGCATGGACTCGGAGCGGGCGAAGGACGGCATCACGGGCCGCTTGCGCGCAACATAGTGAGGTCGTGCGTGCGAGCCACGGGGTCCCGTGGCCGGTGACGATCGTGCGTTCTCCGTTCGGCCAGCGGCGCAGCAGGTCGCCGCGAACGTGGGGGTGCTCCTCGGCGCGGGCAGGGGACCGACGACGAGGGCAGCACGTTTCCCCAGCGCATTCAGTCATCGGGGCTTTGGAACGGATGCTCCTGGACGACGGCCTCGCGCCGTACCTGCGCGGGATGGCGTGGCTTCGCCTCGTCAAACTGTGGGCGGTGCTGCGTTACGACAAACACAGCTAGCCTCTGCCGCAGCGCCCCGCCTTCGTGGGCGGAGTGCTGACGGCCACAATGGGGCGCGCGAAGACCAGCGGAGCAGGGCGCAAGATGCTGGAGCTGCCGCTGGTGGTATCCCAAGAGCGCTACATGCTGGACTCAGCTTGGATCCAGGCGGGCTTCGGCCGGTGGCAGGAGATCGCATGTTTGAGAGGGACGACTTCCTGCCGAAGTGCGACGACGCGGGGCTTATGGTAGTCCGCAAGCCCGCATGGCACACCGAAGCATCGGCAGCAGGTCAGGAAGCGCTCCGGAGGATGCTGAAGCCAGCGGCGTGCACAGAGGATGAGGTCGAGCTCCTCCTCTCCGAGGATGGCGTGGGACTCTGGACAGATCACTCAGAGCGGGCTGCGCTTCCCTCGGCCATGGCGGCACTGGGGATCTCGAAGAGTGACAGCGACTACCCTGGCGGATGGTCGCGGGAGGAGGCGGACATTTACGCGAGGACATACCGCGCAGTCGCGACAAAGCTCCAGCAGCAGTTCTCGGAGGTGCTGCGGCCAGGGAGGTCTTACGCGCGCGGGGCGAGTCGGCGGCCATCCCGGATTTGGCGAATTAGCCGGCGCTGAAGAAGAATTTCTCTGTGCAGAAAGCGGCGAGCGCGGCAACCGAGACCTACGCAGCCCTCGGGGCTTACGCAGGCGGGTTAACGACGGCGTCCCAGGACACCGAGGGCGATCCAGGCGGGACAGCGACTCCAGAGGCCGCGGTTGAAGATGGGGGTGCGGACGCTCCCGCGAAGAGTGTCGAAGGCAGATCACGGACGCGACGGCGCTGACGAGGGCAGATGGGCGAACGCTTGGACCGGCGGCGGGGACAAAAGGCCCCCCGCGAGAGCAGGGGCGCCGAGGAGGTCGGCGGCTATCTCATCGCGTACACGAAGAAACGCAGGATGGCCAGGCTCCAGAAACTCGGGGGCCGTGGCTGGGCGAAAAGCAGGTCACCGCTGAACTCGACCTACTTCGACGATGCGCCAGATCCGAAAGGTTATGACGCGGTCTGCCAGATGCGCTGGCGCCTCATCTCGGCCGAGGTGTCGAAGGCGGCCGACAAGAGCGAAGACGACCACTCGGGCAGGTCGTCGCGCTCCGCCAGCTCCGACTGGTCGGAGGGGGCCGCCCTGGGGAAGGCCGCAGCAACGGCGGGCTCCACATGGCCCGCCAGGACAGCAGCCCGCCAGCCCTCATCCCCCCGGGCCCCTGACGGAGCAGTCGCGAAGGCACCATCAGCGGAGGGGCATCGCACGACCCATCGAGACGGGCCCTCCCCCACCATTCAGGCACGAGCGGGTCAAAGGCCACGCCCGCGTGCTGCCAGGGCGCTGGTTGTAGCGCCCGTGCCCGTGCAAGGAATGACTTGGCACCGTCCAGACTCGGCAGAGGTGGGCCGCGCCCGCGTGAGAACTTTCCGCTCGCCGGCGCGACGTCGATCGGTGAGCGCCCACCCCAGCGTCGAGTCGACGACGCCCGCCCCGCTTGCAGGCCCCCGTCCGCCGCGAGCGGAGGGGGCCTTGCTGGGAGCTGATGTCATCGCGTTGGGAAGGATATTATGGTAAACGGGCAGGACTTCGGGACCGCGCTGCATGCCACCATCGCTCTGCCGAGCGGGGGGGGTCGATGCTTGGTCCGCATCCGTTCAGCTCAAACGGATTCAAAGAAGACCCGCGTGGTCATCGGCGCAGTGGCGGTTGGCCCTCAGCGACGCCCGCGCGACCCGGTGCGAGGGGCGTCTCGACAGCGCACCGCCGGCGGCACCCACGCAGGATGAGCAGGATAATTCACTCAAGCTGCCGAACTCGGACCTTAGCTTCCTCCTCGCGAAAGAGGGCGCTCCGCTGCTGTACTCTTGCGGAGTGACAAGCATGGGGATTCTCGCCAACGTGATGAACTCGGACGATGACGTCAGGTCGTTCGCCAGGGATGCGCTCGAGCTAGACGCGGAGGCCGGGATAGAGCCCCGCGCGAAGTTGGGTGCAGTGTGTGTGTGCGTCGACGATTAGCATCTTGCCGCCACACTGTGAGTTCAAGGTGAGCAGCTCATGAGTTGGCCCGTGTCCCCGTCCTTCTGTTGCACGACTCGGCCAGCCTGTTGGTCCTCCTCCTCCTTTTCCTCCTCCTCCTCCTCCTCCTCCTCCTCATCATCATCATCATCATCATCATCCTTCTCTTCCTCCTTTTCCTCCTCCTCCTCTCCTCCTCCCTCCTCCTCCTCCTCCTCCTCCCCCTCCTCCTCCTCCTCCTCCTCCTCCTCCTCCTCCTCTCTCCTCCTCCTTCCTCCTCCTCCGCTCCTCCTCTGCCTCCTACTCCTCCTCCTCCTCCTCCTCCTCCTCCTCCTCCCCTCCTCTCCCTCCTCCTCCTCTTTTTCCTCCTCCTCCTCCTCCTCCTCCTCCTCCTCCTCCTCCTCTTCCCCTTTCCCCCCCACCACCACCCACACTGATCCCTCGCCTCTCTTGTCCTCTTCCTCTCCTTCGGAAAGGAGTGGGAGGGGAGGGGAGGATTCGTGAGGATTGGGGAGGACGGAGAAGAGGATGAGTAGGGGAGGTTGGGGGAGGGAAGAGGGCCAGGAAACGAAGAACGAGGCGGGGGCGGAGGAGGACGAGGTGCAGGGTGAGGTGGGAAGGATGAGGAACAGAGGGAGGTGCTGAAGGAGTAATGGAGGAGGAGGAGGAGGAGGAGGAGGAGGAGGAGGAGGAGGAGGAGGAGGATAGGGGGGAGGGGGAGGCAGGCGGAGAAGGAGGAGGAGGAGGAGGAGAGGATGAGGAGGAGGAGGAGCAGGAGGAGGAGGAGGCGGGCGAGAATGAGAAGGTGGGTCGAGGAGCAAAGCAGCCGGTGAATGCGCAGGTGGGGCGGAGATGCCGGATAACGACGGAGAGTGGGGGAGGGACTGGCTGATGATTCAACTGATGAAGGGGATGGATGGGGATTGGCCGAAGGAGGCTGCATGGACGATGGTGGAAGCCAGGGTGGAAGAGTGGGGGAGGGTAGAGGAGGTTGGCGGGTGGAGGGAGAAAGCAGAGGTTGGAACAGGGACGGTCGAAGAGGAAGGAATTTCTATGGAGGAGCGCGGAGGAGAGAGGGTGGAGGTAGGACTGCTGAGGAGGAATGATGGATGAGCGAGTATGGAGGAGGGCAGGGATTGGAGGATGGAGACTGAATTGCGAAGTGTCGCGGATGAGTGGAATGGAGAAGGGGGAAAGTGGGAGAGAGAGAAGGTGGCAGGGTGGAGGATGGAGGAGGAAACAGGGATCAGGCAGGCTGGAGAGCGAGGAGGCATGTGGTAGGAGGAGAAGGGGAAAGGAGGAAGGATGCTTGAGTGGGAAGGGGGAGGGAGGTGGGAGGGCGGGAGGGGGAGGAGGAGGACGAGGAGGAGGAGGAGGAGGAGGAGGAGGAGGAGGAGAAAGGAGTGAAGAGAGCGCTCTTGGAGGTGATAGGAAGTAGTGAGGAGGAGGAGGGGGAGGAGGAGGAGGAGGAGGGAGAGGAGGAGGAGGACGACGACGACGACGACGACGAGGACGAGGAGATGGAGGAGGAGGAGAAGGACAAGAAGGAGGAGAAGGATGAGGAGGATGAGGAGGAGGAGGAGGAGGAGGAGGCGGAGGAGGAGGCGGAGGAGGAGGAGAAGGAGGACGGGACCGCGGGCCCAGAGGTGGCGGCGCGCAACCGTCACGAGGAGGCGGCGGAGATGTTGCGCACGCACCAGGCGCGCTGGCGACAGCCCCCCCTCCCGAAGCCGGGCCAAGCCCTGGCTCCCGCCGCCCCGCTGCCTCCCGGCGATGCCAGCGATTCCAGCAGCAGCGACGGCGAGCCCGAGCCCAGCGTGGCCCTCCTCGTCGTGCGAGCGGTGCGCCCGTTGCTCAGGGGGGTGCAGTGGGCGGCGGGGCGCTTTCTGGGGGAGCGGCGCCGCGACGCCGAGGATCGAACACCTCCTTCCCCTCCTCATCCTCCTCCTGCTCCTGCTACGGTTCCTGATGATCCTCCTTATGGTCATGCTCCCCCTCCTGCGATCCTCCTCCTCCTCCTCCTCGTCCTCCTACTCCTCCTCCTCCTCCTCCTTCTCCTCCTCCGTAGCCATTTTGGCTCAAGCCATTTTGGCTCAAGCCATTTTGGCTCAAGCCACGTCGGCCCGAGTGGGCCCCCGCAGCGCCGCTCGGCCGTCGTCCCGGGGCTTAATGTGGGGTGGTGCGCCGCTCCCTGCCGCTTGAGGTCCAGGTGCTCCTGGCAACGCCGGGTTGAATTCGTTCGCCTCCTCGCCCAGTGCATGCTACAGCTACCTGCTTTCCTGGTGGTCTTCCTCGTGGTCTTGGGGCCGGGCTTCTTGGCTGGCGGGCTGCTGGGCGTGCAGGTGCTCGGTGTGGGCATGATGCCAGTGCTTTGTTCGAGGCGTTTTGTTCATACAATGCGGGACTGGGCCCATTTCTACTGGTTTGCTTTGCTCAGTTGTATTCTGGTGGGAGTTGGCTCAGTGCAATGTTTATGCAGGGTTCGAGGGACGAGCCGTGGTGGCTAGCATTCCCCTCGCCCAGGGCCTGGAGTGCCCTTGTTTGATGCTGTGGGCGCTGCTTACGTCAACCAGCACGTGGGCCACATTGCCGTGGGGGTGGTGTGTTGTCGCGCCGTACGGGTTTGTCCTGCTCGGCATGTTCTTCGCTGTTGTGTTCTACTCGGGTAAGGCGTTTATCATCATCTTGGACGGGGCTGCGGTTGCCATACTGTGGTTGGATTCCTCATGGTTGAAAGAAGCTTGGCGCTCGCCATGGTGCCGTGGGCGGCTGCAGCGTGGTTTCTCGTCGTCTTGTTTCGAGGTGGTGGCATTGTCCTTTTCTCGGTTGCATGGCATCGTGTTCATTGTGGCGCAGGTACTTGGTCTTTTTCGTGTACTGTTGCGGGCTCGAGGGACGAGCCGTGGTGGCTAGTATTCCCCTCGCCCAGGGCCTGGAGTGCCCTTGTTTGCATGCTTTGGGCGCTGCTTACGTCAATCAGCACGTGGGCCACATTGCCTGGGGTGGTGTGTTGTCGCGCCGTACTGGGTACCTGCTGCTCGGCATGTTCTTCGCTGTTGTGTTCCTCTCGGGTACGGCCTTTATCTTCAACTCGGACGGGGCTACGGCTTGCCTTACTGTGGATTGGATTCCTCATGGTTGAAAGAAGCTTGGCGCTCGCCATGGTGCCGTGGGCGGCTGCAGCGTGGCTCTTCGTCGTCTCTTTCGGGGTGGTGGTATTGTCCTTCTCTGGGTTGCATGGCATCGTTTTCATCTTGGGCTGCAGGCACTTGGTGTTGTACGTGTACTGAGGTGTGATTGGTTGGTAGGGGCTGAGCTTGCACTCAGGAGCCCGCCATGAGGAATTCCAGGAATTCCTCCTTCTCCTCCTCCTCCTCCTCCTCCTCCTCCTCCTCCTCCTCCTCCTCCTCCCCCTCCTCCGCGTCCTCCTCCTCCTCCTCCTCCTCCCCCTCCTCCTCCTCCTCCTCCTCCTCCTCCTCCTCCTCCTCTTCCCTCCTCATCATCATCATCATCATCCCTCCCCTCTTCCTCCTCCCCCTCCTCCTCTCCTCCTCCTCCTTCTCTCCTCCGCCTCAGGATCATCCTCCTCTTCCTCCTCCTCATCATCGCTTCCCACCACCTCCTCACTCTCCGCCTACTCCTCCTCTTTCCCCGCCACCTCTCCTCCTCCTCCTCCTCTCCTCCTCCTCCTCCTCCTCCTCCTCTTCCCCCTCCTCCTCCGCCCCTCCTCCTCCTCCCCCTCCTCCTCCTCTCCTCCTCCTCCTCCTCCTCCTCCCCCCCTCCTCCTCCTCCTCCTCCTCCTCCTCCTTATTTTCCTCCTCCTATTCCTCCTCCACCTCCTCCCTCCTCCTCCTCCTCCCCCCTCCCCCTCCTCCTCCTCCTCATCATGCCTCCTCTTCCTCCTCCTCCTCCTCCTCCGCCTCCCTCCTCCTCCTGCTCCTCCTCCTCCTGCCTCCTCCTCCTCCTCCTCCTTCTCCTCCTCCTCCCTCCTCCTCCTCCTCCTCCTCCTCCTCCTCCTCCTCCTCCTCCTCCTCCTCCTCCTCCTCCTCCTCCTCCGTCTTCCTCCTCCTCCTCCTCCTCCTGCCTCCTCCTCCTCCTCCTCCTCCTCCTCCTCCTCCTCCCTCCTGCTCCTCCTCCTCCTCCTCCTCCTCCCCCTCTGCCTCTTCCTCCTTCGTCTCCTCCGCCTCATCCTCCTCCTCATCCTCCTCCTCCTCCCCCTCCTTCCTCGGTGTCCGTGACCATTTGCGCTGAAGCTGAGACCTGGTGGCTCCAGCTTGTACGCGGACAAGAGGCCAGCTCGAAAGCCCCCCAGGGCGCCCTTCACCGTTCAACCCTCATGGCGAGCCGGTGCGTTCGCATGCGATGTCGGCTGAGGTGTGAAGGACTTGCACAAGTCTATTAAAGTGTCGGTGTTCCGTTTCCTCGTCGACCATCGCCTTACCACCTTAGAAAGCGCAACTCGCTAGACTGCGCTCGTCTTCGCTGCGCTGCGGACACTTCCAGAAACGAGGTGCGATCGGCTTCCAGCTCCATTGCCGCAGACGGTTTCCAAGTCAGCACTTTCCTGAGAGATCGTGGTGCGATATTTGGCCCCAGGGGCCGCGTGAAGAGTTGGGAGGGTCCTTGGGCGAATCTGGATTCCAGAGCGCCAGGATACAAGCACACGGGGCTAGGCGTTCTTAAGAGCGCGGCCCAGAATAATTGCCGAGCCAATTTGATTGGCCTGGCGCTCCAGCGTTGAAAGCCGAGCAACTCGCCCTGCAGCTGATCCAGCCTTGATAACCGACCCCTTCAGGACCATCCTCTTCACGGCCAGGCTTGGTCAGGGCAGATAGCATCATGATGAGACGACTTCTGCCTCATCATGAGGAATCCTGGTTCCAAATTGGAAAGTATGGCTTCGTCGCAGGGTGTGAGAATATGTGCGATGATACATACAATATACGTAAGCGAGGGGGGGGGGGTCCTCAACTCTTCTCCTTACTCCTCCATCTTCGTTGTCGGCCGCCTTCTGTTCCTCCGCCCCCTCGCCATGTTCATCCTCTTCCTCATCCTGATGCTTTTCGTCGTGGAGGCGACAGAGCGGGGAAGGGGGGGCGATAGCGCCTCCACTGCGATTGCAGTGCGCGGGGCGGGGTGGCACTGGCACAGCCACAAGCCCCCCCCCCACCCCGACGGCCAGAGGCGCCGCCATGTTCGTATAGTTTTAATCAAATGGCGCCCCGGTGATTTCGCATAGGCGACGAGTATTTAAGGGTGCACGCGCGTGGCCCAGGGCGGCCGCCTGGGAAACAAAACCAATGGGCACTGCACCCACAGATCGCGTGGACAGGGCATCGGAAACAACAGAACAACCTGGCGCTTCCATCTGGCCAGGACGCTTTCCACCGCCGGCCCATGCGACAGAATCAGAGTGCTGGAAAGTGGCGAGGTGGTGCAGCAGTTAGGGAATCGTTCTGCGTTTACCGCTCGCTGTTTGGTGCAATTTTGGCGCGGGCCGCTGGTTGAGGCATGCGATCTCTTGCCCACAAGCTAGCAGATGCAGCGTGCATTGCCTCGTGTGCCTTCACAGCGGCCAAAATAGTCGGAGACATGACCATCGAGCTTGCCGTGACTCGACTGCCCGATGGCTTACATCGGCGCGATTCAAATTTGGCCCAATGTTGCAATTTCGGAACTCTTGTCTCGCTGGGTTCGAACTGGAACCAAGTTCCATTCATATGTTCGAAGAAGTCCTGTGCGAAACGCTTCCTTTCCTGTTGTTCCGAACCGGCAGCGACCTGGGTTCCGAGGCATCTTGTCTAAGAAGTCCCGCACGACATGCTCGCTGTCCGATTGTTTCGAACCGACTTCGAGCCGGGTTCCAGACCATATCTTCGAGAAGAACGCACATGTAACGTTTAGGTGTCCGTTGTTTCGAGCCGAATGCGAACAAGTTCTGAATCTTATGTGCGATGAGGTCCCGCACGAAGCGTAAATTTTCTGTGATTTGTTGAACCGATGTTTTTCCTTGCGAACCGATCTCTAGTCTGGGTCCCATTTGTCCGAGGATTGATTCGGTTCGCCGTTTTCGAATCGCCATCCCGTTTAGATTGATACGAATCTAATGGGAGGTACAAACCCCAGATTGTCTGGCTCCCCGCTGGCAACAGCTCCACCCCTACCGGTTTGTTCCGGGCTCCGCACGCCGAACGGGGCATATCTGGACCACGCTGCGCCAGCACTTCAAACCTTGGTGGATCTCTCATCCCAGCACAGCAGTGGTGAACGCCCTGCGCATTGGCGGGCACATCGACCCGAATTATATTTGACGGCGAAGGAACTTACGCGGGATGATATCATTATGCTTCTGCGCCCCATTGCAGCTTCCGTTCAGGGCAGCTGCTGGCAACGCGTCTCCGGAGTAGTCGCGACCAAATGCGTGCTTGGATCGTTGCGACCCAGGCGCGTTGATCGGGGCATTGCTGCGCGGCGCATTGCAGATGCGGGTGGCGTAAAGAAGCATTGCTTGTTCCAACTAGTGGATGCGACGCGCGCTGCGATCGATGAGGCGACGGCGCCGCTGGGCGGGACGAACGTTGCAGGTCTGACCACGGGGCCCCCCGCTGGCCAGCTGCAGCGCGCCCCCAGGGAGGCCGAGGCTGCGCCGCCGGCAGACGCGCCCGAGAGGGGGCGCGCCCGAGAGGGCACGGCCCGGGGCGAAACGCTGGCGAGCCCCCGCGGAGCATTCCTGGCGCGCGTAGCCCCGGGCCCAGGCGCGCTGCTCGAGCCTCGGCGGCGGCGGCCCGCGGCGGCGAGGGCCCCGACGGGCCGGGGGGCGACGGGCGCCACGCACAGTCGCGCGTGCGCGCGCCGCCGCGCGCGCCTGGGATCCCGCCCGCGGGAGAGTCCACGAAGCCCAGCGCAGCCGCGGCCGCTGGCTCCCAAGACATCGCGGACGAGCCTGCGCTCGCCACGAACGCCGGCCACGGGCCCCGCGCGAGCGCGCAAGTCAGACATCGAAGCAAGGAGGGCACGCGGCGCCCGCTGCATCTGGGCGGGGAGAATAGACGCGCACGGGGTGATTCGAGAGGGGGGGCCTCGCAAGTCACCGGGGCGAGTTGCTCGGCGAGATGCCCCCCATGGATGGCGCTTTTCTTGGCGGCGCGGAGTCGCTCGCGGTCGCTGGCCCAGTCGTCGATTCGCGCGGGCTTTTCAGTTAGCGCGCAGGGGTTCGTGCACGTCGCGGTCGTCGACGCCGCCACGGAGGAAGGTGGGCGAGGGCGGCGAGGGCGGAGGCGGCGGAGGGGGGGGGGGGCGACTGGGCAGGGGGGGAGAGACTGCATCAGGAGGAGGAGAAAGAAGAGGAGGAGGAGGAGGAGGAGGAGGAGGAGGAGGAGGACGCGCAGGGGGCAGCTGCAGCAGCAGGAGGAGCGGCGCGCCCGATGGGATCGACAGAGGCAGCAGCATCAGCGGGGGGCAGGAGGAGGAAGGCAGAGCTTCGCGGGGGGCGAGGGGGGCGGCCGGGCGAGGGACGACGGGGGGGCCAGCGGGGCGGAGGGCGGAGGGCACGGGCGCGCCCGCTAACCCTTGACACACACAATGCGCCCACGCGCGCGCTCGCTCAGGTTTGCTACATCGCCCGCAGTGGGGCAGCCGCCAGGCTGGCCTGGAAACTCAAGCTGCCATGTGGCCTGTGCGCGTCCGCCTGTTGTTGCTCCACGCAGTGCGCCCACGCGCCCGCGCTTGCTCGGCGGTTCATGGGCTGTCCGCGACGGGATCGCCGCCGTGGTGGTCTGGAAACTCAAGTGGCCCCTTCGCGGTTGCCGAGAGGATCTCCCACTTGACGTGCGGCTTGCACGCGTTCGCCTGTTGGCGCGCCATGCGCTTCGCCTACGCGCGTGCGCTCGCATGGTGGCTGCCGTATTGCCCGCAATGATGTCGCCGCCCTGGTGGCCCGGTAGTTCAAGTGCCCCCTCAGCGGTTGCCCCGTGGATTTCCCGCTTCACACCCGGCCTGCATGCGATCGCACGTTGGCGCGCCACCCAACGCGCCGCGCGCGCTCTATCTCGCAGGGGGGAGACCGCGAAAACGAGGCAGCCCCCCAGAAGGCACGTTGTTTTTCCTTCGCATGTTCGAGTACGAGCTATTTCCAAACAATTTATCATAGCGCCCTTACGATCATACAGAAATGCGCTATGACGACTTGATATTCCTTCAAAAGCCCGCAAGCGCCCCAGTACCAGTCCGCTTGCACCATCGCCGCGGCTGCCGACGTCGACTAAAAGGCGCCGACGTCCAACGACGCCGC